TGGAATATTTTTCATAGAGGACAGTAAGCCACAGAAGTTTAAACAAAAAGATTTTTCTACTGCAGGGAAAGTCCTCCCTTACTGAATTTTAATGTAAAAGACATAAAAATAATATGTATATCACACACATACACACACACAAGGCATTCTTGTGCTTGCTGTAAATGGCATTCATATTCTTTCATTTTAGTACAATACTTTGAGAAAGTAAATATCTCATTTTTTAATACTAAACATGAGAAAATTTAGCAGGCTTCTTTATGGCTGCTTCAAGTCAAAGCTTGAAATTAGCTCTTCCAGTTCTAAAACCAAGCCTCTCTCCAGTACTCTCCAGTATTTTGCCAGGGGTTCATTCAAGTCAGTTTTACAATGTCTGAGCTGGAAACATCAAGCAACACACATGTGTGCATGAGCTGCAGTATTGGGAGGAATGGTCGTTGGTACTATTTATTTGACATAGGTACAAATGCGCTGCATCACATGGACTCTGGCAAAAGCCAGGCCACTCTGAGTCCTCCTAGACAAGTCGTATTTCTGAGTAAGAATTTATAACTTGGTGGCAGCTGGAGTCCTCCTGCCCTCGGGAATCTGATGACACAGGGGTGCAGCACTATGTCCAAGGCTTTGTAGGAGCTCAGAGTCTGCCCCCACAAGCCTGGTGAGATGCTGTAGTTTACTCATTCTTCTGGGACCACCATGGTCAAATCCCGAGTGTTCTCCAGATTACACCCCAAAACTCTAACAACTACGCACGGCCTATCTGTTTATAACCGTGACATTGCTGGGGAGAGGGGAGCCACAGGAAAGGGTCCCATTGCAAACCATAGGTCCTTTTGTGTGTCTCACTGATTCTTCTTCTCTGCTCTCTCTCTCTTGCTCTCTCATCCCAAGTTCTACTTTCTCATATGCAATAATTCAACATGGACTGAGCATGCTTGTGAAACTCATCCCTTATTTGCTAATTAACGTATTCTGTCAAAAGTAACAGTAGTATTACTTTGTTTGCATAAATAAAAGCTTTTGCTCTCATTATGTGTCTGTCTTTCTCTATTTCTTTCATTTGCTGGGGATGTTGCAGTATGTGAATTGAAAAGATGTATATCTAGTTTATCTACAGCATAATTATGCTCAACAAACCATAACTGGTATTTATGGGAAAGTACTGAAATTAACTTCAGTGGATTTTCTGTAAGAGTTGTCACTGACTACTGAAAATGCCAGTGTGCTGGCCAGTTCGGGGCACATTTTACTATTCCTGGTGCCCTGGGGGTGATGGTTGCTATTGTCTATCAATACTCTCAGTAGTCGCTTCATTGGTTTAAACACTTCTGAATTCTAAACAATTTTAAACATTATTTTGAAGGGAATTTTCAGTCTTTCATTCTGCAACTACTGTGTTAACAGTTCTTTTCCTAAGAACCAAAACTAAATATATTAAGAGACCATTGTATATGTCAAATGTTGTAAAGATGATAAAATATATGAAATAAGTAAAGCATATACTTCCATCCTTTTATGTTTTTGCCAGTTAAGTTAGGAAAGTGCAGAGTTGGAAAGGTAACTAGTAACCACTCATACTTGTCCTTGGGAAAGCAATCGGAAGAAATTAAACTCCTGTGGTTTGCCAGTCATCTGTGTCTCATTTACAAAGAATGGCATGTGTCAGCCTGCTAAAATAATTCTTTCTATGTGGTTGCCAAAAATGCCCTCCCAGCATGTAGCCTGGGTACTCCAGCAATAGAGATTATTATGGATAAAGCATATTGGGGATAGAGGAGAACTTTGCCCTTAATAATTGGTCTGCTGGTATATGTGATTGCCTAGCGTCATGATGGCAAGTTGCATTACTGTGAGGAACAGGTCCCTAGCTTTCATTTTTATTCTGTTTTGCTAGCCCTGACCAGAAAGCAGAATTCATATATCTCATTCTGAGATCATGTCACACAGAATTAAAGATCAATTGAATGCCGAGAAAATGTAGAATTGGGACACTTAACTAGATTTTAGAAACTCATTTCTGAGTCTTTTGCTTCTGGGAATAGTATTCCAATGCAAAGGATGAATACTATCTGGGTTCTACTGCTATCTAAATTCTTTGAAAAACTGAAATGAATACGGGTCATTTTGGAATGAAGCTGGGTATATGTACAGGATAGGTTACCGATTTCTACACTATGATAGTAAAAACAATGTATGTGGCCAGACTGGAAAGGAAGGGGAAATGAAACTGGTTATCCCTCTATGCAAAAGCATAGGGAAAGCCCTAGACGAGCCTCTTATCTCTGATAGCTTGAGGGCAAAAGAGGAGGAGAAATTAACATTTCTTCTACCCACCATGTGCTCTGTAGTTGTGGTAATAGATGTAAGGACGTTTCATAGCAGATCACTTCCAAAAATACCCCAGATTACTGTACTTCCTAAAATTTGCATCATTGATTCAGAACTAAAATGTTACCTTAGGTTTGTTTCTGTT